GAGAGAGAGAGAGAGAGAGAGAGAGAGACAGAGACAGAGACAGAGAGACAGAGACAGAGACAGAGAGACAAAACAGATACAGACACACAGACAGACATGTATACCGATAGAGAGAATGAGAGACAGAAACATTGAGAGCTAGCGAGGAAAAAAAAGAAATGAGTGGGTGGGTCCTAAATGTATATTAATGTATTAATGACAATAGCTGGACTCGCGAGTCTTGTGTTGTGCGACCTACAGGTATTGATTTTCTGGCGCTAGAACTGGTCAGGTGGAAGGGAGACAATAACTGTCCCCGGGACAGCGATCTATCTCTCCTGGTTTATCTAACCTTTGAGACAAAGGCGTGCCATTCAGTTATTCCTGTAACATTTAGCGGATGTTATATGCTTTTTTTTGGTACTGTTGTTGGTGTTAATTGTTTTTGTTTTGTTTTGTCTCATGTTGTTTTAGGGTTGGGTTTTTTTGTTTTTTTTTAGGGGGGGGGGTTGCTCAGTTGTTTTTTGTTGACCTTTTTTCGTTTCACTTTAGTATGTTTGGTGGAGGATGTTTTTGGTTGTTTATTATGAGCGTTTTCAGTCTGTTTATTTATTTGTTATTTCCAACTGTCCGACGTTTTGAAATGCTCCCTTCCGTTGTCTTAGCCGTCTACAGAAATTCCAAACCTGCCCTGGAAGCAATGTTGTAATTTGAGACTAAAATTATTGCTGAACATACTCATCAATATTCGAATGTTTGACAAGTTCATACGCTATTTTTAAAAAGAAGTAAAATAATTATAATATTTATCCTATTTCCAAAAACAAGATTGCGTCATTTTTCACCCTCTCTATTATTCGGATACAGCTACAGCATCTCGGCAGAAAGTCTAGTTGAAGATCGTGGCGTCGGTGGCCTAGTGGTTAGGCTCTCGGAATCGCAAAAATAAGGTCGTGGGTTCGAATCCGGTCAGGGGCCCGACGTTGTGTCCTTGGGAAAGGCACTTTACTCGAATTTTTCTCACTTCACACAAGTGGGAATGAGTACCCGGCAATAGACAGCGAAAGATCTTGTCAGTTTGTTAGTCTTTGAGCGCTTAATCAGCTGCTTGCACTGTATGCTTCCCGGGAAGCTGAGAATGTTTCGGAGTGTTCTATGGTCTGCTGGGGTAATAATATAGTTGTAAAGTGCATAGAGCCCTGT